GGATGGATCCATGCTTTCATGTTGTTTATGCCAAATTCTGACTCTACCTTTATTTTTTGTTTCAAAATGTTTATTGAGTTTCAATAGTAAAAACAAAGGAACACAAATGGTTCACATACAGTAACGCAATTGTAAAGTATCAATGCATACAGTATACATCAGTCTTAAAGCACAAATGCAATGATAGACACTACAACGGCATCTCGTGTAGAACCAGAGGAGAATAGAAAAGAAAGAAAGTCTGATAGGGGGTCCATCGGGTAGGGTAGCGCCTTTAACAACCTGTAGGCATTACAAAGGGTCCGTGAGTGGTGGTTTCGGTTTTAAGGCCGTTCAACCCAACCATACGGTCACATGGGGACCTGTCATAGGAAGGTGAGATTATTCATGTCCATGTTGGGATGAGAAAACTGAATCCATGGTTCCCAGATGTTTAGAAATTTAGTATTAGTGTCGGCCAAGATACAGGACAATTTTTCATTTAGCATTATGTTATCTAACCGTTGTGTAAATTCTCTATAGGTGATAGCTTGTTTCCTCCAATTGCCTGCTATGGTCAGTTTGGCTGCTAGGAAAATTTGGTGTGCTAAAGAGCGGTGCGAGACGTGTAAGCCCGGTATAGTGTCATGTAACAAGGCCTGCGTGGGGTCCTTAGCAACATGTTTGTGAAATAAACTTGATAATAAGCGGTATATCCTAGTCCAAAAGCGTGAGGCAAATGGGCATGTCCACCATATGTGTAACATATCACCCGGGAGTGCACACCCCCGAAAACACCTGTTGGACAAGGATGGATATATTTTGGCTAATCGGGTGGGGACCATATACCATCTGTAGAGAACTTTATAAGCTACTTCCCTGTTCGTTATGTTAAGTGAACTCTTGGAGATGTTTTCCCATACCCGTTCCCAATCCTCAATTGACCAGGACAAATTGAGATCCTTTGACCATTTAGCAGGGTAAGCATGCCTGTCTAGGTGTGTCAAGGAATTGAGTTGGGAATATAGACTTTAGTAGACTTTATTAAGGATGATGGAGCTCAGTGGAAGAAGAAATCTGAGAATAAACGAAAGAAAAAAGGCTTGCAAATCATTGGCTAGACTTTTCTCAGCAGAGCTAAATAAAAGACGTTCATCTTTCTAGAATACTAGCAAAAATTGAAGCATGCTGAGTAATGGAGGGGTTATCCTGGGCTGGCCTACAACTTTTTTGTTTTCCAGTATTCAATCCTATTGTAGACGTCAGTCTAACCAGACAATATCTCAATTTGTGCATGTGTATCCCTTAATGGAGGAGAAAACCTAATTTTGGTGATTGGTGAATTTGGGGGGTAGGCATTCACAAGGCAAAAGGGTTTTGCAAAAACTCATCACTGGGATCCTATGCAGCCAGAATCCTTTGACCCTTTCAAGAACAGTATCACCATGGCACATCCATTAGTGGACTTTCTTTGTCTTTCACATTGTATTCCATTGTCAGTACCCACAGACTTGCTGCTGTCACATCACCTGGTGTTTGAAGGCAGACTGAACTAGTTCAAGATAAGTGTCATCCTTGCAATTTTTAGAGCATAGACAGTGTAAGAAAAAGTTAGGTCTTTTCCAAGATTATATTCTGCTTTAAAAGCACAGGCACTGGGATTCTTTTCCTGATCGTGGCCCATGGTCTCTCGCCTTTCTAAACAAATCAACAGTGACAATTCCCATATAATTTTACTAAGATGAGCCAAATGCTATGTTTATTTCGTAGAGGTATGGAAACACTAGATGGCAGCAAAGCATGTGTCAGAATCCATTGCATTAATTGGTATTGCACTGAGAAAGCCACATATGGGCATGTTTACACAGGTCAAATGAGTTCTAAAACTGAGGAGCAACAGGATCTCAAAACACTTAATTATTGCATGTATTTCTTTTGATCTAGGCTGGTTTTACAAAAGTTACTTTTGGGAGCTTTCTTAGTTTAATAAAAGCACAAGTTTACATTACAATAAAATTTGGTGTATTTTAAATAAGACACAAATTACTATTTTAGTTAGACTGCAACGGGTATTTACAATGAGAATCTACTAGTAAAACATAGAAGCAATATTGGACGTTACACAGTAAGAATTAATACCACATGGCTGCACAGTATGTACACTAGGCACATCGAGGATAAATAAGTGCTAAAACATTGGGATTAGAAAAGTGTGCACAGAAACAATATCATTTTCTATAAATGAGCAGAAAATGTTCCAAACATCTGTAAAAGGCAAACAGCTTTTGCCACAGAGGCACACTATGGTCCATGGTAAAGAAGTGATTACAGATGAGTGAACATCTACAAATCTGCTTCTTAATATGCCTGGTTTGCCCATATGACCCACTTTGTGGCAAAATGAGAATGTAGAATTGTCCCACTTCTAGTTTTTTGTAGTGTTGAATTAATTTTTATTTTTCATGAAACAGAAAAGATCAAAATGTTCCCTTCTTAGTTTCCTTAGTTTGACCTGGTCATAAATCAAGAAATCAATGCACTATACATCTTTTACCAATTTCTGTTTTTTTTTTTTATGTAGCTGTGAATGTTTGTTATATAAGGAACTGGAAGTAAAATAAAACAAACAATGGCATAAACCAGCAGAATAGGATCAACAGAATTAAGTTGTGAAGACGGATTAAAGACAAAAAATAAGTTATATTTATATTCCATAGGAGCATCTCAAAAACATCAGTAGCAGTGTCCGCTTTATGAACCACACAGGGAGGTTGATGACAAAGAATGTGCCGCCCCAACAGGGGCATAGAATATGAGATGCATAGCCTCAGTTAATATTAGCATTGTTATATAGGTTAGAATTTATATAGTGTGATTTGCCTAACTATTTTCTCATAGCTAAATTCATGTGTTATCCTATGCTGCCATCTAGTGGCCTTTTGTTGTAACAAACATGCTTTCTGTAATTATTCCTCATGTGACGATGTATTTCCCCCTAGTGTAGCCCCTTCCTGCTTCCTGTGTGCAGTACTTCCTGTGTCATGGCACAGCTACTAGCCACATGTAACAAGGACACACATGTAATCTGCACAGTACGTAGGAAAGGCATCATTTTCTGACCGCACAATACTATAACCGTTCAACTGCTGTTCCTATCATCTGCTATAACCTGATGTTAAAGAATAAACACCTCTTTTGAATGAATCGGTATTGACGAGTTCAGCTATCTGACGAGGATTGTCCGCAGTGAGTATATCTGCTTATACAGGCCAGGCATAGAGGTCTCAGCAAGGGATATATTTCGCTATCGCAACGATCGGAGTCAGAATAAAGAAGATGGTAATAAAATGATCTTTTTCTGGGGTGCAATGATACAACAGCATTCATGCTATAGGCCACACATTTGGCAAGAAGCCAGCAAACTGATAGAAATACATTTTTACTTTTTGGGGTACAATAGACAGCCACTTGCTTACAGACAGCTTGTCAGTCTAATAAATAGATCGCATGAAAGCTCTATCACCTCTGTGGCTTTAACGTTGCTTGTAAAAGATGCTGATGTTTCCATGCAGCGATAAAGAAAGGAGTAGAGAAGGGGTCTCAAACTGAATTCATTCGGGGGCCACCGGACAAATTTTCTTCTACCATGGGGGCCGCTTGCCAAATTTCATACTACAAAATAAAATGTTACTATATACAGTACCAGTGTTAATGTCTGCTTGTGTTTATAATGTCAGTATAAGTGTTTGTGATGGTTTCTTCGTATGCAACGTCAGTATATTTTTTGTGATGATTTGTGTGAGTGATGTTGATATGTGTGTTAATGTTTCTGTGTGTGTCACATCAGTATGTATACATGTGTATGTGTGTGAAGTGTTAGTATATGTGTGTGTGCTAACAATTTGTCACCAGTTATACAGTAAGGTGCACACGAAATGGGCTTTAAACATTACTGTTTTACTGCTTAAAGCCCATTTCGTGTGCACCTTACTGTATAACTGGTGACAAATTGTTGAGTGCGTTTGTCATTTGTTTTGCCTACGCGCTGTAAAACGCTCATCAAAACCAATAATTGCCTATGGGCATGGTTCCCACCTGGACGTTTTACAGCGTGTAGGAAAGGGCTGTAAAACGCCCTACGCCCAAAGAAGTACAGGAGCTTCTTTGGGGCGTATTTGCCGCGCGTATCCATTAGGATACAGCCGGATAGCCCTCGTTTCTTTTACAGCAAATCGCGGTCAGAACGCGCGGCACAAAACGTGCGGCAAACGCGCATATTCCGTATGCCCAGGTGTGAATCCAGCCTAATACATACACAATCATACACTCACAACCAGAAAAACACACACTAATACACATATACGAAGGCCCCATTCACTCCTGTAAGTTTAGGTGTGATTAGGGATTTCTGCGTCAGGAATTTGCATTTTCCTGCAGCAGGAATCCCTAATTTGGCGTTTACAAGCGGCAGCTGTCACTCGTTCAAGTTAATGATCAGGTGACAGACGCTGCATGTAAACGCCTGCACACAGCATGTAATGGTATGTGATATGATTACATGTGATTAGAAAACAGTCACTCTCCCTTGACGCACAATCGTGTATCCAGGGAGATTGATTGCTAACCACATGTAATCATATCCCGCGGTGTTGCGGTGTTTACATGCAGCGGCTGACACCTGATCCAGTCACCTGAATTGTAAAGGCCAGATTAGGGAATCCTGCTACAGGAATGCAAATTCCTGACACAGAAATGCATAATCACACCTAAACTTACAGGTATGAATGGGGTCCCCATAACCTGCACATTCCCTGGTGATCCAGTGGTTGATTAGTAAGGTCTGGTGCAGACCTTACTAATCCTTCCTTCAGAACTGTCAGAGCTCCGTACGAAAGGAATTACTGAGTGCTGGATCTGTCAGGAGCAGCTATGTGGTCTGCATCTGACAGAGATGTAGACCGTGTAGCTGTTCCCACAAGTCAGGTACGGCGTACCTGACTTGACAGACGGCTGCGAGCCGAATGGTACCGATTCCTGTGGGCCAGTACTTTGACACCCCTGGAATAGAGGCTGTGGCGCCCCTCTACTCCCTGCCTCCCCGAGGTCATGGCCCCGGTGGCCTTGGGTGGTAAGTTCTTCTTGCACTGGTCAGCCTGAAAATTACCCTGCCCTGCTCCTTACTACAGCTAGGCTTAATTGACCCATCCTGTATAGGACCACCCCCTTTTACCAATCAGGAAATGTGACCTACTCCTTTGGTCTTTTTGTCCCTTTAAACCCCCACTGCCAGTCACCCTGTCACGAGGCCCCTCGACTCATGTCCTTTTGTTTTCTAGCTCCAGGCTCTTCTTTCCCATAAGCACATGTCTTAGTGACAGCTTCTGATTGGTTGATGATGCAGGAGAAGCATGGCCTAAAGCAAGATCCTGCAATGCTGGGACGTCATATAAAGCTGTTCACTGATTTGTGCTGGGGTGATGGGTAGCTCTTCAAAATCAAGAATTTTAAGCAAATGAGGAGTGTGGGACAACAGAAGGAGACCAGGAAGCAGGGCTTCATATTCACAATGTGTATATTTACATTCTCAACCAAAAAGAATACTCAGTAGGTACTAAAAAACAGAAGATTCAGGGTACGTACCAATGTGACCTAGAGGTAGGGCATAGTGACTATACTGCTCTTAACGTGTATATCTAAGGAACGTAAAAAATACTATAGTTTCCCTTTAAAGACAAAAAGATGCAACAGATGACATAAACGTACCAACATAAAGAAGAAGAAACAGACTAGTCATTACCAGAAAAATGTGGCCATCACATGAATACACAAAACTGTTGTTTCCAGTACTAATCAGTGATAGCAGCACCTGGAACCACATGGATGATTTATGTGTGAGCCATAGTAACCCACTGTGCGTGTGCAGTGAGCATAACAAAGCCATGCTCATGAATAAGTGCCGATAACACATGCATTACAGTTTACAGATACAACTTGAGGTTTCTCAGACAAACCTTTACCTGTGTGAAGGTGGCCCACACACATATCAATATGATATTCAAAAAACTTTGTGAGACAAGCGTTTGTAATACAGATCAAATCAATATTCGTTTTCAATAGATTGTTTTAGACTAAAGACAATCTTGTTAGGATCCCTCGTATGCAGTGGCGTAACAACCGGGGGTGCGGGGGGGTCACTTGCCCCGGGCGCAGGACTGAGGGGGGGCGCCGTCACGACCCCCGCTAAACAATCGCC